GTGAGCGGAGCTGTCCCCCAAAAGACCAGGGGGGCCAGTGCAGAAGACAAGTGTGTGGAAAGCCTGTGTTAGGACGGGGAACACTTACAAGGGTGTGAGTGTGAGTCCCTGTATGTGTGCCTGTGTGTTTGTGGGTACGTGTCTCAGTTGTGTGCTTCTGAGTGAGTCTGTGTGTGCATGTAAGAATCTGTGCGTATGTGTACTTGTGTGTATGCGTGTGTACTTTGTGTGTGCCTGTGAGCCAATGTACTTGTGGGCATGCATATGTGTGTGTGTGAATCTGTGCATATGTATGTCTGAGTGTGTGTATCCATTATCCATGTGTATATGTTTGCTTGTATGTGTGAGCCCATGTATGTGTACAAGCGTGTGTGTGTGTGTGTGTGTGTGTGTGTGTGTGTGTGTACTGTCACTTCCTGGCCAGGCATCATCAGAGGGCAAGAACCCACAAAGTCAACTTCTGGGCCACTGGACAAGTTACCAGGGGCGGGGGTGGGTGGTGGGTGGAGGTTGGCCAGACACAGAGCCCCAGCGCCTGACAGGCTGCTTGCCCCCGTCCCCTCCAGTCCTGGCCTTTCCTGCCTACCTGCTGGGCATTGACAGTGGGCGGCTGCAGGAGAAGCTGACCAGCCGCAAGATGGACAGCCGCTGGGGTGGGCGCAGTGAGTCCATCGACGTGACCCTCAACGTAGAGCAGGCTGCCTACACCCGCGACGCCCTGGCCAAGGGGCTGTACTCCCGTCTCTTTGACTTCCTCGTGGAGGTGAGGGAGAGCCTGATGGGGATGGGTGGGCCCTGGGTGCCGCCCTAGGCAGGGCTGAGGCGGCAGGTGGGCAGGCCCCGGCTGGGCGGGACTTCCAGCAGACTGTTTTAGTTCTTGGGCTGTGGCTCTTAAGGGACAGAATCTATTGCCTCGTAGCCCTGGAGGCTAGCCCTCAGCAGGGTTCTGGAGAAGGGCTCCCGCCTTGGGAGTCCCAGGGGGCCCTGGTCTGCCCTTCCCAGGGCCCTCCCTCTGCTCCTGACTGTCCTGCTCTGAGTTATGTGGGGCATGAGTTGAAATGGATTCACAACCACAATAGCTCACATATGTGTACATCTACACAGTTCATAAGGCATCCCGGTGGCAGAGTGGTTCTGCATTGGGCTGCGAACCACAAAGTCCGCAGTTTGAAACCACCAGCCACTCTGCAGGAGGAAGATGAGACTCCTGTAAAGAGTGACAGTCTCAGAAACCCACAGGGGCAGCTCCACCCTGTCCTAAAGGGTCGCTTTGAGCCAGAATGGAGTCCATGGGAGTGGGTTTGGCTTTTTGGTTTTATATATGGTAATACTTCAGTTCGGGAACCCCAGGGGTGCCATGGTTAAAATGCTTAGCTTCTAACCAAAGGCCTGTGGTTCAAGCCCACTGGCTGCTCCAGAACAGGAATACATGGCTCTCTGCTTCCATAAAATTTCCACACACACACACACACACACCCAAAAAAAGCCATTAGGTCAAATCCACCGTATAGCGATCCTATAGGATGGGGTAGAACTGTCCCTATGAGTTCCTGAGACTGTCACTCTTTGTGGGTGTAGAAAGCCTCGTTTTACTCCTTCGGAGCAGTTGGTGGTTTTGAACTGCTGACCTTGCGGTTAGCATCCCAATGTGTAACCCACTACACCACCAGGGCTCCTCTCCATAAAATGTGTGGCCCTACAAACCCTATGGGACAGTTGTATGCTGTTCTATAGGTCATTATGAGTCAGAATCAGCTCAGTGACAGTGGATTGGGTTGTAGATATAGGGTCCTAGATGGCACACATGGTTTGCATTAGGCTACGAACCAAATGGTGGGTGGGGCAAATTCACCCAGAGATACGGTGGAAGAAAGGCCTGGCAATCAAACCCATGGCCACACCGTCGATTCTGAAGGAGCAGGTGGTGGGTTCGAACCAACAATGTCTTGTTTCGCAGCCAAGCTGCTTTATCTGCTGTGCCACCAGAGCCCCTCCAGTAAGAGCACAGCTGTTGAAAACCCTTGGTGGGGGGAGCAGTTCTAGTGGCCTCACAGGGATCACCACGGCCTGGACTCGCCCTACGGCCCAGAACCGGGGAGGGTAAGAGAGAAAAGTGTGAGGAGGCCATGAGCCCGTGAGGTGAGAGAGCAGGTGCCCACTATCCCCACCCGTGTCGCAGGCCATCAACCGAGCCATGCAGAAGCCACAGGAGGAGTACAGCATCGGCGTACTGGACATCTACGGCTTTGAGATCTTCCAGGTAGGGCGCACGCCCCCTCCCCACTTCCCAGCCTCCCCGCACCCCACCACCGTGGTGATGGAGGGATGGTAACCAATGTCCGCGTGCGCGCGGGGCCCGCGGCGTCAGGCCTCCCTCCCCCTTCCCTCGACAGAAAAATGGCTTCGAGCAGTTCTGCATTAACTTCGTCAACGAGAAGCTGCAGCAGATCTTCATCGAACTCACGCTGAAGGCCGAGCAGGTGGGCGGGGCCGCGAGGGGCGGGGCCTCCCTGACCCCACCCCTGGCCTTCCTGGGCACCTTCCTGAGACTTGCCTTCAAAGGAGGATTTCTGCTAAGCGCTGGGAAATGTCTTCTCTGATCAATCAGCGGTGATGGGTTCAATGTGGCCGTGGAGGTGTCCTGGTGGCACGGCGGTTAAGCGCTCGTCCGCTAACTGCAGAAAGGCTGAGGGTTCGAACCCACCAGAGGCTCTCCGGGAGGAGACCCCATTGGGGCAATTCTAGTCCATCAGATGAGGGTGCTATGCACTGGAACCCACTCGGCCCCAAACGACATTATTTCGTGATTAGGGGCCCTAAGAGCTTCGTGGTTACTTGGGCTGCTAACCACAAGGTCAGCAGTTCAAAACCACCAGCGCCCTCGGGAGAAGAAGGAGGCTTTTTACCTCTGTAAAAGAGTTACAGCCTGGCAAACCCACAGAGGCAGTTCTACCTTGTCCTACAGAGTCGCTCTGAGTCAGCCTTGACCCGATGGTGGTGAACCTGAATTTGGAATATAGGGTCACAGCGAGTCGAGGAGCCCTGGTGGGAGTCCTGGGGTGGGGGTGGGGCCGCAAATGGCTAAAGGCTACGAACCAGAAGGTTGGCCATTTGAAACCAGCCCAAGTGTCTCGGAAGAAAGACCTGGCAGTGGACTTGCGAGTAGATCACTGCCATGACAACCCGATGGGGTGCCGTTCTCTTCTGAAACGCAAGGGGTCCCCATGAAATGGACTAGCCTGTACAGTTCAGGCCCACCCAGTGGCTCCTCAGAAGGAAAGTCTAGCGATCGCTTTCTAAGCGGTTAAAACCACACACAAGAAGTCAAACCAAGTTAAAGGTTAAACCGATTCCATCAGGTAGATTCTGATTTGCAGGGTTTCTGAGACTACATAGTTCGGGGAGCTGACAGCCACATCTCTCTTCTGAGGATCTGCGGCCGGGTTTAAGTCACGGGCCTTGTGTAGCAGCCCAATGCCTGGCCTACAAACACACACCAGCAGGGCCCCATCTGGTCACAGTCCTGAACACCCAACCACCCTGGAGCAGTCCTGGGCCCCCCATGAGTGGGATCGACTTGACTTGGCTTGACGAGTCTCATCTTTGCTTTTATTTTAAGTGGGTGCTCTGTGCCAGGTATGGTTGTAGATGCTGAGGACCCCGCTGTGAGCAACAGCTCCCTGCTGGGTTAGTTCAAGGTTGCTTCAGAAGCAAGACCGAGGCAAGGATCCAGGGCCAACTAGCTTATTTTAAGGAAGGGGATCCCAGGAAGCACCAGGAGACTGGAGGGGGAGACCAGGGGGTAGGGAGTGAGACTGGCAAGAAGCAGAACGAACTTTGGGTTACTGGGTGAAATTCTGGGGGAGATAGCACAAGCGTGGCTCAGATGTGTCCCAGGGGCCAGGGCCCTGCGCTGCTCCCCTGCCACTGGATGGGTGAAGGCTTGCAGGGAAGGGTGCTTCTCGGTTGCTTCTGGCTGATCCCAAGAAAGGGTAAATGGGTTTTGCTGCCAGAGACAGATGAAGGGGGTATGGCTAGTGCACCCTCCCTTTGTAACTTGCATTCTAGAAACAGACAGATGACCCCCACCTCTACCCCTCATTGCCCCCCAGGAGGAGTATGTTCAGGAGGGCATCCGCTGGACCCCCATTCAGTACTTCAACAACAAAGTTGTCTGCGACCTTATCGAGAATAAACTGGTGAGGGGCAGGCCAATTCTAGCGTCCCCTGGGCCCTGGAGCCGGGTCTGGATCTGGGCAGGGCAGTGGGAGGTCTGTGTACTCCAGCCTACAGCTCCCATGGGTCCTTCTCTACCCCACGACTCCTTTGGGACAAGAAGACCCTGTGGAAATCTCCCACTACTCCCCAGCCCCCACTTCCTCAACAAACCTTCCTCCCCTCTGGGCAGCTGCTCAGGTCCAGAGGGGGCAGCCCTGGCAGTCCTCCCAGACCAGAAGGGGGAAGAGGCACGCACCCCAAGGGATGCCTCCTCTGTCCTGTGTCACCCCCACACACCTCCTCTGCCCTCCACACACACCTTTTGCCCTGACATTCAGAAGCCTTGGATCATGGGATGTACGTCCACCCAGCTCTAGCTAGCCTGTACATTTCCTCTGGCCACATCCCTTCTACCTCTCCCCACCACCACCCCAGGAAGTTAGATGGGGCAGGGCAGGGCCAGACAGACACCCCCCTCCTTGGCCCTCTTCACTGAACCCTGGCCAGGGGCCCCCATCTGGCCCCACCCCACCCCTCCTCCCTCTCTGGCGCTGCCTCCTCTGGAACATGCCCACCCCCACCCCGTTAACCTGGCCCTCTTTTGTTCTGATTCATTCATTTTCCCCCACCCCCGTCTATCCGGCTCCCCGTCATCTCCGCCCCCACAGAGCCCGCCGGGCATCATGAGCGTCCTGGATGATGTGTGCGCCACCATGCATGCCACAGGAGGCGGAGCAGACCAGACGCTGCTGCAGAAGCTGCAGGCGGCCGTGGGCACCCACGAGCACTTCAACAGCTGGAACTCCGGCTTCGTCATCCACCACTATGCCGGCAAGGTGCCTGCCCCACATAGCCTCACAGCCCACCCCAACCCACCCATGGACCCCCGGGACCCCGGCCCAGGATGCCAAGCTGCCACCTCCCAATCCCCAAACTTGAGCTGGCCCACCCTAGCCCCCAACCAGGTCTGCAGAACCCACTGACGCCAGAGGGACAGGCTATGGCCAACCCCAGTCATCAGCACCATGCTCACCATCGGCCAGGCACAGGCGGGGTGGGGGGGTGGGGGGGGTTCCAACTCCCAGACTGTCCGGGAGGCCATGCTCCCTCAGCGAGCACTGTTGAACCCCACTGACCCTGAACCAGGTCTCAGTGCCCCCGCTCACAGGACAGCTTATGATGCCCCCAACTTGGGCTGTGCCTGTGCTCAGGCCCCACCGCCCACTTTGAACTGTGACCCCATTGATGCCCCTGACCCAGAACACATCCCTACCTCTGAGTCCAGGTTGGAGATCGAATGTCAAGAGTACCCAGACTCAGGACACACCCCCGATATGGGCTTAATCCCAGTCGTCTGGGACCCTGGGCACACACTCAGACCCAACATGGGCATCAGGCACCCCATGGGCTCCCCATGGGACCAACATGGACATCAGGCACCCCAGGACCCCTTGTCTTGGTGGCAGCCTCCCATGTCCCTCAGCCAGGCTGCACAGCCCTGGCCAGGCGCCACGGAGTCCCCCACTTAGATAGCAGCCCCAGCCCACAGCCCCAGCTAAATCCCCCATGGGCCCCTGCACAGCCCTGTAACCTCCAAACCTCAATCCACCAGGTTTCGGACACCCAAACTAACCTCTGACTCCTGGTTGGGCAGCAGGACCCCAGGGATCCCTCCCCTCCCCCATGCTGAACCCTAGACCCCACTCACCCACCCTGATCCCTCCACCTCGGCTGCTCACTTCACCAACGCCCCCCCATCCTCACCCTGCAGGTCTCCTACGACGTCAGCGGCTTCTGTGAGAGGAACCGGGATGTTCTCTTCTCCGACCTTATAGAGCTGATGCAGACCAGTGAGCAGTGAGTGGGCCCGGGCGTGGGGCCTCCGCACACACCACCCCCTGCAGGAAGTGGGAGGCCTGGGGCCACCCCATCTTCTCCAGAGCTGCAATCATGCCCCTGACTTGGGTAGGGGGAGGTGACTGTGTGGCCAGGACCGGGTCCTCACTCACTGGTTCTGTGGAAGGCCCCTGGGTAGGGCTGGTGATTTAGACTTGACCACTAGTTTTAAAAGGAGCCCTGGTGACACAGGGGTTGAGGCACTGAATTGCTAACCAAGAGGTCAGCGTTTGAACCCACCAGCCCTTCCCAGCCCCTGCAAGAGAGAGAGGTGCCATTGGTTGGCTTTCGGAACCATGTTCCCAATTGTATCTCGCACAAGTGAAATGTTGCTGAAGACACTTCAAAAATGGCTGCGGCCATGCATCTACAGGGAGCTGCCAGAAAGACAAGCTGGATTCAGCAGAGGCCGCAGAACGAGGGGTAACACTGGTGTCAGATGGGTCTTGGCTGAACGCGCAGAATACCAGAAAGACCTTTACTTGTGTCTTGACTGTGCGGAGGCATCGGCCTGTGTGGCTCAGCACAAATTTCAGACAAGTTTGGAAATAATGGAATTCCAGAACACTTCATTGGACTCCTGAGGAAACTGTATGCAGACCAAGAAGCCGCCATCTGAAAGTAACCAGGGGTTACTTTGTGGCTCAAAATCAGGAAAGGTGTCTATCAGGGTTGTATCCTCTCACCACACGTGTTCAATCTGATTGTCGACCAAGTGATCCAAGGAGCAGGATTATATGAAGCAGTTGGCTTCAGGATCAGAGGAAGGCTTATGAACAATCTTCGAGAGCAGATGACACAACCTGCTTGCTCAAAGCCAATAGGACTCGAAGCACTTACTGGCAGAGATCAAAGACGACAGCCTTCAGCGTGGATTACACCTCAGGGTGAAGAAAACCAACATCCTCACAGCTGGACCAATAGGTAACGTCATGATAAATGGAGCAAAGGCGGGCTTGCAGTCAGGATATCAAATGAGATTTTGTATGGGCACATCTGCTGCAAAAGATCTCTTTAAAGTGTAAAACAGCGAAGGTGTTACTTTAAGGACTAAGGTGTGTGTGTTAGACCAGTTTGATGAGAGAAATAAATCCAGTGACACTCATATACGTGTAAGAAAGAGCTTTCTATCAAGAATTAATTGTATATCAGGAAAACAGCCCAGCCCAGTCCAACGCAATCCATAAGTCTGATACTAGTCCATCAGTCCCTCGTCAGACTCACGCAACCACATGCAATGATGCAGAATGCAGGAGGATCGCAGGCTGGTGGGTGCAAAGTCTTGTGGATCCCATGGTGGTGGGCACATCTCCAGGGCTCTGGTAGGTCTCAGAGTGACTTGCAAGCAGGAAGGTAAAGAGAGAGGGAGGGAGGTCCCCAGAGGCCTCCTTATGAGAAGTCCACACCCACAGGGAGTCCCCATCAGGCTGTGGCCTGATAGACAGGTTAGACTCCACCCCTACACTTTTATATATCAAGTTGACGTGAAATTATGTAACTACCACAGTGTGCCTGACCCAAGCCATCCTGCTTTCAATCACCTCACATGCATGGGAAAGCTAGCCAATGAATAAGGAAAGACTGAAGACGAGGTGCCGATGAGTCGCCATGTTAGTGAATAATATTGGACAGATCATGGACAGCCAGAAGAATGAAGAACTCTGTCTTAGAAACAGCACAGCCAGAATGGTCCTTAGCCGGGAGGATGGTGAGACTCCGTCTTAGGGATTTGGGACATGTCATCGAAGGGGACCTGGCCCAGAAGAAGGATGTTGCCACGCTTGGTCGACTGTCAGCAGCAACAGAGGAAGCCCCTTCGTGAGATGGACTGACCCGTGGCTGCAACACTGAGCACCGCATCGCAAGGACAGGGAGGTTGGTGCAGGACTGAGTTCCGCTCTACCTGGTGTTGCTGTGCGTTCAAACCTACTCAATGGAACTAACATTAACAGAAACTCGCTGCTGCCCAAGGTTATGAACCAGCCTTCCAAGTTTCACTTGTCACTTGGATCCCCTATAAGGCTCAAGGTCGATTTTTAAAAAAATCTCATTTAGCTAAACTAGTGTTTGGTTTCAGGAGCCCTGGTGGTGACGTGGGTTATGGGT